TGCTGTTCCGGGACCCGGCGCAGGAGCCAGCTGAGGATGTGTTCCTGACAGAGCTGCTGGCACAGGTGCAGGACAGCCCCTCCMACAGAGGTGTGTGTGACCCTCCAGCCCTGGACAGGGCTCCTGCCATCCCCAGAGCCCACCCAGCGCGTCCCTCAGCCTGCAGAGCTCCAGGCTGTGGGCAGCATTCCTTGATCCTGACCAGGCTTCCCCAAATGCCTCCATCTCGCTCTTGGGCCCACAAAACCAGGTTGGATGGGGGACTTGATGGCTGGTTCCTGGCTCAGCCAGGGTTTGCAGTCTGTGCCTTTGGGGGCTCCAGGATGTTCGGGAGTTGGAGCAGAGCCCTGATTTTGTTGAGGGAACAAGCTGGGCTTTAGACTCAAGATGTGTGCCCTGTTAGAAACCCAGCTGCCTTGAGCTGCCAGGGGTGGAACAGGAGTTGTGGCAGCTGGACTGTTCCAGAAGACCCCTCCAGCTCCTCCATCAGTGCACTCTGGTGTCCAATCCAACCGATATGGGTCACTGAGGTTGGGCACAGACCCTGCAGTGAGTCCATTCCGCTGAGCTCCTGAGGCGGGGACAGAAGGGACAATGTGCCACTGTGTGACACTGCGGGRCTCAGCCCACAGGAGGGTCCCTCTYTGCTGCCCCCAGCCAGGAGGGAGGAGGGAGATTCAATCCCAGACCGTTCCCTCCTTGCAGAGCTGAGCACAGCCAAGAAGAGAAGCACCCTGGATGGCCCTGGTATTGACCTCACAGTGACCTACAGGAAGGTGAGAGAGATCCCTGCCCTCAAAATGGCTCTGCTCCCAGGGGTGCCCAGCGGGGCACAGAACTCCTAAAGGAGGCTCTGACCCTCCCTCTTTCCCCTGGAATTGCTCTCCAGCACAGACAGAGAGGTTGTGGTGAACATTAAAACCTGGGAGGTCACCTTTGTGAAAAGCCATCCCCATTTCTCCTGTGCTCACCCCCTGTGCCAGGGCACTGACAGAGTGCCATCTGTAGGTTATGGTGAGCATTAAAGCCTGGGAGGTCGCCTTTGTGAAAAGCCATCCAGCCCCTCCCGTGCCCACCCCCTGTGCCAGGGCACTGACAGGGTACTGCCCGCAGGTCGTGCTGAGTGACCGGCAGAAGGAGCTGGCCCTGGCCCTGCGCTCCACGGGCCTGCTGATGAAGGCCATCCCTGCTGAGGAGGCTGAAGGTGGGTCCTTCCTGCTTTGCTGGGGTTTCTGGTGCTCAGAGGAAGAAATCTAGTCTGGGTCCTTGGTGCCAGCTGTGCCTGGGCTGTGGGGTTGAATCAGTGACAGGAATAATGGTGTCACCAYGGCCTGGGTGGGGTTTTCTCAGGAGTGCCATGTCCGAGGCTCAGGCAAGATTTAAACCTGGCAGCACCTTCCCTCTGCTGCAGCCTTCCTCCTTCCCCTTGCCCTTAGCACAGCTTTCCACCCCAAGCACAATCCCACCCAGTTCCTTCGCCCCTGGAGCCTGCTCAGGCCCCCTGTCCTGCTGTCCTGGGTGTCCACAGTCAGTGTCCCCACAGGAGGGGGRCAGGGAGCTGAGGTTGTGCCATGGCCCAAGACCAACCCTGTGCCCCTGTCACAGAGCTGGGCTGTCTGAGCGTGACCATCACTGAGATCATCAGGATCAACAACTTGGCGGGACGGTCCTTCTCCGTGAGTACCTGTGGGATCCCCGGCCCTGTAGGGGCCAAAATCCCTTAAAACAGACAGCAGGGAAGGGGCACCCCTCTGTGGGGAGGGGAAGGCTTTGAGGCCACACTGCTCGGAGGACATTTTGCAAATATTTTCCGTGGAAAAGTCTGGATTTTTGAGTAAAAGCCCCAGGTACCATCCCAGTTGGTCAGTGCCATCCCTGCTGGTCAATGCCTTCCCTGCTGGTCAATGCCATCCCAGCCGGTCAGTGCCATTCCAGATAGTCAATGCCATCCCAGCTGGTCAATGCCATCCATCCTAGCTGGTCGATGCCATCCCTGCTGGTCAATGCCATCCCAGCTGGTCAATGCCATACATCCTAGCTGGTCGATGCCATTCCAGCTGGTCAGTGCCATCCCAGATGGTCAGTGCTGTCCTAGATGGTCAGTGCCACATTGAATCCTGTCTTAGGAGCCTCTGAATGCCTGAGCTGCTGCTGGGGTGACCGCAGGGGAAATAAAAATGTGGGGAAATAAACCTTTATGCCAAGGTGGATGCCAGGGCAGGGTTTGTAGTTCTGCCATCAACTCCCTCCTCTCCTTCCCTTCAGCTGTGGTGYCCCCTCATGTCAATCCCCCCCAAAAGATCACCCAAAATAATTTGACAAAGCATAAACAAGAAGCAGGAACTTCACTGAATCTATTTATCAGCTCAGAAAGATGGGTTTGAAACGCAGGGGACTGAAATTTTGACTTCTGTCCTTTTAGTTTTACATTTGAGTTCAAGCAGACCCCAGAGGATATGCTGCCCATGGAATTTGTCACTGCAGTTTGGTGGCATTAAAGGTCATTTGGGGCCTCTGGCTCCCAGCTGGTGTTTTCAGCCAGCACATTTTGCTTATTCTCACCTGGTTTTTGGGAACACTGAGGTGCTGCAGCCCCACTGCCCACAGGGATGCTCCATGGCCATGGAGGACAGATCATGCCCCATATCAGACATCCCAAACTCACTGCCAGGTTCGAAAGTTTGCCCTTTTAAAGCATGACCAGGCTGTGAATACAGAAAACAAATTTGTCTTGTGTCATATCCGGGGTTAAAAAATAAAGCCATAGAAATGTCATTTTCTGTCCCTTTCACACCCAGAGAAATGTCATTTTCTGTCCCTTTCACACCCAGCACAAAGCCCAGGGAGGGGAGGGACACCACCACCAGGCTGTCCCTCCTCTCCCCATCCAGGCTGTAGCACACAGGTTGAAAACACAGAATATCAAGATCRGGAGCCCAGAGCAGAGACCCTTCACGGTGCGGCTGGACAAGGACAGCAGGAGAACCTACAGGGATGTGATCAGGTGAGAATTCCAGGCTCTGCACACCTCCCCTGTGTCCCTGCTTGTTCCCAGAGACTTCTGATCCCATACTGACCCACAGACAAACACATTCCCTCTCCAGGGAAAGCAGGGCACAGTGGGGCTCTCCCACAGTTGTGGTTTTGGGTGATGGTGTGAGGAAAAAAAAGGGTTCTTTACACAAAAGGTGCTGTCATTGAGAGTAGAAAAATAGGCACTGCCAGGGATAAACAGGGCTTGGATTCCAGAATTCAGAATTACATCATGATGCTGGTGCTTTCTGCACTGAGTGCATCCCTCATCTGAGGGTGGGGGAGAGGATCCAACCCTGTGGCGATGGCAGGAGTTAATGTAGGAATGACATGGGATGTGTTGGTGGCTCAAGGTCCAACTTGAATTCACACAAACGGTGAACTCCTGAGCTTCACCCAGAGCCCTGGGTTTGTGTCAAACACTGACACCGCAGCTCATCTCTGCAGTCAAACGCAGTGGACAAAAGCACAAAATCAGCTGCAGCTCACAGTGAGAGCCCTCCCTCACAGGGAGCTGATGTTTGCTCACAGATCAGGCCCTTGGGCAGCTGTGAACACACACTGAATGTGTCCTTGTGCTCTTGCAGCCTGGAGGTGTCCCCCTGCCTCGAGCCCAGCTACTGCCTGCAGAAGACAAGGACCATGAAACTGAGCCTTCCCCAAGCAGAAGATGTGGGGCTCGTGAAATACCTGCCCAAGTCTCTGCTGCTGCCCATCAACACTTTYGCAGGAGTCATCCAGTGAAGGAAASRGGAAAATGCTGCTGTGAGAGTCATGATGCTGGGTCATCACCGAGGACATAGCAGGAGAAAACACTGAAAGCCACCAGTTGTGAMATTCAATGGCAGTGGGGTGAAGAGCTGCCCCAGCAGAGGTGGATAAGTGACCACTCAGGTGACAGTGTGACCATGGYTAACAGCCCCTGCCAAAGGGCACGGCCATGTTCAGAACAGACCTTTAACCTTTGCACAAGCCAGGGAAAAGCTTTGAGCTTCTCCTTTTGGGAAGGCTGAGGAAATCCATGTGAGGTGGTGCTGCCTGTGATGGGGATCCCTGGGCAGTTGCCAGCAGCAACATTTATTTTGGAGATGTCTTACAGCCCTTTGGATTCTGCACAGAAAACTCCTCATTCTGGCCCAGGGGACACATTTGGGAAAACCAGCCCGAATTCCCCAGTCTGGTTTAGGACAGTTTATGGTATCCCTGCCCTCACAGGGAGAACATGTGTGTTCAGTGCAGCTGCTGTGGAAATCAGTGGGAAAGCTGTTGTTGTTCCAAGGGGCTACATGGAATAACTAGAGACAGTGTGAAACAGGGCCAGGGAAATGTGATGCAATGTTGGCAGCGAGGAGCAGGGCAAGAACCAGCCAGGCTGTGCTGTGGGGTGTGTTTGGCTGTGGATGGTTCTGTTGGGAGAAGGATCCTCCATGGAGCTGCACAGCAGCTCTGTGACATCTGAGCTGTGCTGAGAGCACCTGCGATTTCACAGTGGCTTTACTGCACTACATCAGGACACATCAGCTGGAGCCCCAGGAGCACTGGTGCCATCACCCTGATTGTACATCCCAGAACAACCCCAACAGCCCCAGCTGGACTGGAGGTTCTCCAGCAGTGCCTCTGTGCCCAGCCTGCCCGGCCATGCTGGTTTGGGCTGGGCAGGTAAGGGATGCAGCAGAGTGGAGAGTGCTCTGGGGATCGATGGATGGGCAGGAGGCTAAAAGGCTTTCCTGTTCTTTCCTCTGTTGCTCCCATGGTGAGGAAACCCTGCCCTGGTTTACAGAGGGGCCAGGCTGGGCAGTGACAGTGACAGTGACAGCGACAGTGACAGTGACAGTGACAGTGACAGTGACAGCACAGCTCCTGCCTGCAGCAGCTCAGAGTGACCATGGTCATGAAAAGGACCCTGCCTTCATCTCAGTCTGTGGTGGACGGGAATCGTGGATGAAATAGGATGTGTGTTATTAACCTTCAGAGTGGGATCTGYGGTTTCTGGAGTGTCTCTGGGGACACTTTGGGCACTATGGCCCTATGATTTTGGGGTTGTCCTGGCTCCCAGGTAGTTCCCTGGGCTGCCTTCCTTCAGGGTATTTGTGGGATCATCAGCCCAAAGAAAGTGTCTTTTGGCAGCAATTCCCAGCTGTCTCTGGCTGACAGTGGGGAATGGATCCCTGGGGATGTGCTACAGGTGCTGCAGTGGCACTGGCAGGTTCCTCCTTAGCCCTATGGCTGAGGACAAAGCCACCCCTCTGGCCTGTCTGTGCCAGGCCTGCCCAGCTCTGGGGAGCTGCACCTCTGGAAAACCCACCCATAAAAATTCTGTTTATCCACCCACAGCTGGGGCAGGGAGCCCACCCCAGTTATCCCAGTCTGGGGTACTGGGAGCAGTTTCCCCTCAGCAGGGCTACCCTGAGTTTGTGGCTTCTCTTGGCTGCTTGTGGCCATGGAAATTTCTCACACATGCCCAARGCTTTGGGGTTCAGACTCAAACCACCCTGGTGCCAGTCTTTGCCYCATTCCTGCTCCTGGCACAGCAGCCACTGCTCCTTCCTGTTCCCCAGCCAAAGGTTTATTCACTGCAGCTCCAAGTGCCACCCACAACAGCCACTGACCCAMTCCTGGGGCACAGCAGCTCTAGAGCTGTGAGCAGGACATTTAGCACAGTAAAATCCTCCAGGTCTCATGGAGTGTTTRCCCCAAACCTGCACCTGTTGGAAGATCACATTGGACACACCGTGGCCATTTCCAAACGAAGCTCCACTGGAATGCTGGCAGATGCAGCCCCTCACTCCCTGCAGAGCCAAGCACAGCCCTCAAGCCTTAAAATCCCCCACAGCAGGTACAGGTCTGCAATATCTCAGCAGCAGCATTTGCTTCTTCAGTGCTGGTTTCCACCCCACAACCCAAAAGCCATTGGTGCCCTGCTGTGCCAGCAACATTTTGGCCCTGAAGGAGGCTGGAGGGAGGCAGGAGGCTCACAGACGAGTCAGGAATCCCCTGCATAAGCAGCTGCTGTTGTTGGGATAGTGTGGGGTTTAAGGGGTGACCAGTGGCTCTGCACCCCTCTGCCTCTTTTGTGGGGTTTGCACACACAAGGAAAATGCTCTGAAAGCCAAGAGGCTTTGAGTTGGGTTGGAATGTGGGCTGTGTGTCCAGAGTTTGTTCTGTACAGCTGTAAATTATGTAGATGTACTCTAAATTATTTGTATAGGTGTGATGGATCTGTGTACAAGATCCAATTGTTTGATGGCCATTGAAAGAAATTCAGAAAAAACCCAAGCTGAAACTGCCAGTTGGTTGTTACTGTGTATTTGCACGTGGCTGSGCAATAAGCTGGTAGGGACAGAGAGCCACCAGCATCATTTGGGCTTCTCGGCTGGTGTCCCCTCCCACAGGCTGTGTCACACACAGACTTCATGGCCAAAGTGCTCAGGGGTAAAGGGAGGTGCAGAAATGGCTGGACTGTGGAAATCTGGGAGCAGTGCTCTGTGACTCTGTAACCCTGTTCTGGCTGTCCCTGGATTCCCCTCCATGCTGGGACACTCTGTTCCCACAGCCAGTTCCCCTGTTCCCCTCACAGCCTGTCACTTCCAAGGGCCCCATTCCTTGGCCAGAGCTTTGCCAGGATTCCCTAAAGCCCACTGACCTGCTCCATCATCCACGGAGCAGAACCAGCTCATGGACTGTGCTCATGGTGTAGCACAGCTCAAAGAAGGAGAATTTCACAGGCTGTTTCATTCACTCCTGGAAACTGCCGGCAGCAAATGCAGGTCCCAGWGCAGCCACAGACCAGGGACAGTGTTCAGGTGGATCCTGGATCCCAAAATTGCCAGCCTTGGAGCAGCTTCATCTGCTGCACTGGGAAAAGCCTGGGGAAATGTGGCAGGGGCGTCTTGAGGGGGTCAGGTTGGACAGAATTTCCTGGAGGCAGGGAGAGGAGGATCTGAGTGCAGGGTGCACTCCTAAGGGCTGGGTGAGGGGTTTTACCTGGCAGGATTCCCCAGTCCATTRGAGAGACTCCCAGCCTTTCCAGGGCCCTCCCGAATGCCTTCATTTAAAATAGTATCACAGAATCATGGAATGGTTTGGGTTAGACGGTACCTTAAAGATCATCTTGTTCCAACCCCCTGCTAATGGGCARGRACACCTCCCACTGTCCCAAGTTGCTTCAGCAGGAAGGGCTTCAAACTGACACAGGGCAGGGATGGATGGGATATTGGGCAGGAATTGTTCCCTGGGAGGGTGGGCAGGCCCTGGCACAGGGTGCCCAGAGCAGCTGTGGCTGCCCCTGGATCCCTGGCAGTGCCCAAGGCCAGGCTGGACATTGGGGCTGGGAGTGACCTGGGACAGTGGGAGGTGTCCCTGCCATGGCAGGGGTGGAATGAGATGATCTTCAAGGTCCATTCCAGCCCCTGAACATTGTATGGTTCTGTGAAACATCAGCTGCTGGCTCTGCTGAGGGTCAAGGGACCCCCACTGTCCCTTGGGGGGCCGTGGCAGGAGGTGATTGGGGCTTGGGCTGAGGGAGGGGAGCCCGGGCTGGGACTGAGGGGACACAGCAGTGCAAAAAATACTTCACTCTCGAGAAAACTGAGAGGGGCACCTCGTTCATGGGTACAGCTGTCTAAAGGGAGGTGTCTCAGCATGGACCAGGCTCTGATCACAGCGCCAACCAAAAAAAAAAAAAAAAAAAGAAAACAGATGCCCAGGAAATGCCCAGGAAGTTTCACCTGAATATGAGGTACAGTTCCTTCCCTGGGCAGTGACCTAGCGTGGAGTCTCCTCACTGGGGATATTCCAGAGCCATTTGGACACAATCCTGGGCCGTGTGGCTCCCATCCACAGCCCCCGTGCCCTGGCCCGACGGGATGAGGGCGAGCCCCGGGCTGGCCCCCTCCGAGCCCCGCGGAACAGCCCCTGCTCCCCGGCCAGTGTGGGGCATACGGGCCGGGTGAGAACGCTGCGGCCCCTTCCAGCCGGGCCACGCCGGGAGAGGATCCTGCGGCACGGGGAGGCGCCGGGCCATTCCCGCATCGGGCCATTCCTGTGCCGGGGCCGGGCCATTCCCTTACCGGGCCATTCCCGTGCCGGGGCTCCCGTCTCGGGCCGCTCCCGTCTCGGGCCGCTCCCGTCTCGGGCCGCTCCSGKCCGGGCCGGCAGACGGCGCTGCGCCCCCGCCATGCCCTCCCGGGGCGGTGACAGGTGCGGGCGGGCCGGGCCGGCGCTGTCCCGGTGCCGCAGGTGCGGTCAGTGGGCCCGGAGCGGGGCCGGCGGGACAGCGGGACATTGGGAGCGGGTGAGGCCATGCGGCGGGCGCTATGAGCGAGCAGTGGGACGTGGGCCGGGCCCTGGCGGTGGCCGCGCTGTTCCGGCTGCTGCAGGGCGCGGCCCGGGCCTGCGCCGCCCCGTTCGTGCCGCTCTACCTGCGGCTGCTCGGGCTGCCCGCGCCGCTCGTGGGGGCCGCGGCCGGGGCCCGGCACCTGGCGGCGCTCACCGTGCCCCTGTGCTG